AAAAAATCCAATTAGAATTATCACTATTAATATTAAAAAAATGTCAAAAACAAAAGTTTACTCATCTCACTAATAATATTAAAAAAATAAAAGAAAAAAAAACCTCAATGTTAAAAAATAATAATAATAATAATATCAAATTAGTATTCCTACTATTGGTATTTAAAAATTGAAAGAACAAATTCAACATTTCAGGTTTTGAACTCTGGACCATTATGTATTACACCAATGGTTTTGCCATCTAAACCAAAGCAACTTTTAGTTAATGTTTGGTATATATACTATATATTGGGTGGGTGAGTGGGGGCAGCAGCCCCCACATTGTGGCTCCGCCACTGAATATATGATTGAACTAAATATCCATAAATTCATAACTATATAACCACAATTTCATAACTATATATCCACAATTTCATAACTATATATCCACAATAATACTATTGCTGAGAGTCGAACCTGCTTTTTTTCTTTTAAAGTGGGACGCGCGTTTTTAATCAAAACAACGTCGTTTTGAACCGTATGCACCATGCGCATGGTACATTCGGTTGTACAGCATAACTATTGGACCATGCATAGTTCAAGGTAAACTATTGATATATATACATTGTGGAATAGACCATTAATATATAAATAAATTCATTTTTATAACACTGTAGAAGAAGCCCACCCTATACATTTTTATAAAATTGTGGGGGAAGCCCACACTCTACCAATCATTATACCATGGACCATGCATGATTTAATTGCAAGGTAAATCACTGGGAATAATATTATAAGTTTAATTTTACTGTACTACATATATGGGTTTATATTATAAATGAACTTGTATCAATAGTTCACATTGCAATGTTGATCCACAATATAATTTTACTTATGCAGCAACATGGATGTGGATTGGACCACGGTATAATTCTGTCTACACGGTTATTCCTACACTATAAATTGACATGAAACATATAGTTCGTAATATAATTCTACGTACTTATGTAGTTGTTTCTGCCTTGAAACCTCGCAGAATAGGTGAATCGTCAGATAGTCTCAACTAATAAGCACAACTTTTGAAAATAAGTAGTCATGATATATTGAAGTGTTTTGTATTACGAGAGAAATGTGTGTTACTATTTGATTATATGTATTGAGTAAATCTTACGTTTATGTAATAGCTCGTAATTAGGTTACATAGAAAAATTATGTGCATCAGACTTGACAAAAAGGAATTTGGCAAGATGAATATATTGCATTTGTAATCTTTTGGTATGGGAAAATTCAAAAAAAATTCCAACTTTGCTTTGCGTACAATCTATATTCATTATTTATCTTAAAATAATTTTCAAATTATAATTTTTTTAATGTACTATATATACTTTAACTTTAAGCAGACGCTCATTAATTAATATAAATAGAATAATACATGTACGCAAGTCTTCCAACCCTACATGTCACGAGGGTGATGCCCGGGAACAAAGGGCATCTCCATGGACCATATACAAGTTATCAATACTGATTTATTTATATATTTTAATACAAATAATGTAATTTTTAATTAAATATAATTTGTCAACTAAATTAGATCACAAATTAAAATGATTATCCCAATACTCATAGGCAGAAGACTAGCATTTATAACTTTGATTTATGAAAAAAACCATGCAGGTCGGTTAATTACTTATTTGAAGATGCATTATGAGTAAAGCGGATTTGGGTTTAGCAGCCTATGATGATTTACCTCTTTATAATTTTTTGTTGATTAGGGCCACTTGGCGAATTTCACTTAAAAGGGCTTTAAGCAGTGATTGCGAACTTTTTTGTAAACTAAATACTAATATCTATAACATTAAATCAATTTTCTTTATGTATAGCATATGATATTTTATTATCCTGATATTAATAACTAAATTTGGAATTATATTAGGTCATGCTTATAGAATTTGATTCGAGTAATAAAAGAAATTATAATTGTATAATGATTATATTCGAACACACACACAGATACAAAATCGCTCATATGTGGTCATGTCATTAGGTGTGACGGTGTGGTTGTATCTGTGTCGTTGAATCAGTTTAATATAACGACAGTGGTAATTCTGAGGATTTTCGCGCGTTTTGGTAAGTGGGGGTGTTATAGTAATTACAGTGGTCATTTATAGCGGGTGGGTTCCAGAATACACCAACAATATTGACAACATGCACCAATAGTGTAATAAAACACCACAGTGAAACACACCAGTGATGTATTCCCGTGTTATGGTAATTACAGTGGTCATTTATAGCGATCAGGTTCCAGAATACACCAACAGTATTGACAACATGCACCAATAATGTAATAAAACACACAACAATGTGATTTTCCCTATTCTGGTGCTTTATGACGAGTTTACCCTTGCAGTTCGCTGAGTAGGAGAATGTACGCGAAAATACTGGAAGAATCTTGATTAATATGAATAATTGGATCTATCTAATCTAATCTAATCTAATCTAATCTAATATAATGGCCTATAAAATATAATTGACCGTATGACCACATCTAAAACATGGCAACATGTGATCACCCATATATATATATATATATATATATATATATATATATATATATATATATATATATATATATATGGTGGCTTGAGGAAACACTACGCTTCATATGACTTCAAGTTTTGGAAAGGCCTTCACTTGTCCAAATGGTACATTAATTGGTACATACATACCATGACTTTCACATGCAGTTAAAGTTATTGTTTTGTTTTTTCTTTTGCTCTTTTGATCGGGATTTGTGGGCTTCATTACAAAGTTAGTACAATAGAGTTGTGGTGATTTACTAGCACGATCCATATCTTTCCAAACTGGAATAAAGCATATAGAAATGTAGAATTTGAAAGAAAGTCGGTGATTGGTTTTAATTTGAATAAGTGGGGTAGAAGGGGGTATGGCAAAGGTTCCCATCTTCATAATATTATTCATACTATTGGAGAAATCTAAAATAGGGGAGGCCGGTCAGGGTCAGGGGCTGCTAAGTAACTTGTAGCTCAATAGCACCTCTGTGATGACTCTCTTAAATGAAAGATCAGTCGTGTACAACATTGTAATAGAGTTAGTAGTACTAAAAAAAAAAAAAAAAAGTTAAACATCCGTCAGTTGGCTTTCGTCCATCCCTTTTCTTATGGTGAATTGTATTAGTATAACTTTATCCCATTTTTGTGTGATAAAGTAGTAAAGTATACCAAAGGACTTATGGTTGAGCGACATAGCTGTGGCCCTTCAAATGAGAGTTCTCATGTTTGAACCCAGCTCTTTGTGTTTTGATAGGTTGTGAATCTTGTACAACTAGTACGAGAATCATATATGTTCTATCACCCAGTCATCCATTTCGGGACAAATTGAAAATCATTAATTATAATATTTATGATGAAGAATTGTATAAGTAATAAATAATATATAAGTAGGTATTTTAAGGGGGAATTGAAGCATGTTACATATGGTCCACAACATAATTTGCACCACAATTGTACGTCCCCACTCAAATTGGAATCTTTCATCGCGGGCCATTCCTCTCGTACACATACCGCGCTGTACGCCACCATAATTTAATTCCGAATATATAGTAAGAATGTCCGACTACTTATAACTTATATGAGATTTTATTGTATTGAAAAAATTAAGAATTTTTTTTATTTTATTTATTTAGTTATTTATTTTAAATTTTTATTCTTTAATTTTTTTATATCTGCAATTTTTCAAATTTAGTTTTGACACTATAAACAAAAATTTGAATAAGAGAAATTCAATAACATTGACCGGAAATAAAGGAAAAGATGACAGCCAGAGAAAAAGTTAGTGAATGTCGGAGAGGTTATCCCAATTTTAGAAAAAAAGAGATAACATTTTTTCAATTTTCAAATTGAAAAAAAAAAGTGGTTTGATTTTTAGTGGATCCGTAAAATAAAGTTAAAGGGAAGGTGCACTGTTGCTTCCATTTTCTTTTGTGTTCTGTATTTGTCTGTGTTTTTCTGTGTGTTTCTCTCGTTTGTGTGACGAGTTTGTTTTTCTCTCGTTTCTTTTGGCGAGTTCTTTTCTTCATAAGTGTGGGACATAAAAGTTGGTCATGGCGTATGCAAACTTCATTCTAGGTGACAAAAATGACAATGAAAAAGAACATATGCAATTCAGCTCAATGAATATATTGTCAACGGAAGGTTGAAAACAGATACTCAGGTGGTGTGCAAGACTTTCCAACCAAGGTCAGTCTTAACAACGTTTGATCAATTCTTCAATGATATTAAAGAAGCGTTAAGTTCATTCAACGATTCAGCTTCAAGTTTGTGAAACAGTCTGCGAATCAAGTTCTTTTGTAGCACTGCTAGGGAAGTTGTTTCTATGTCTGTAAGGAATGGTATACCGTTCCATTGATCATATTTGTAATTGTTTCAACTTATGATTAAATGAATGAGCTTCTTTATTTAAAAAAAAAAAAATGTATTCTCTATCCCTTCAAACATAGAAAGATAATTTATTCTCACCAACACGACAACCCCTTTAAGGTTGAGCTGCCGTTTACTCATGATCTTCCTAATGCAATTTATCTCTTAGGTATGATTTATAAGTTATTACAAAGGATTGAAATTTATGCAATGTACACCCTCAAATAGTACCTGGTTCCGAGTTTTTGTCATTATCCAGAAAAAAAAAAAAAAAAAGGATAATTTCTCTATCAATAAACGCACATTTAATATGTTCAATCACTTGCTATTTCCTCTTTATTTTCCTTATATCTTTTTGGTCAAGAAGGAAAGGCAATATCGATAGTTATCATTTGAAGAACACATACACTAATACATTATCGATCTTCCATAAGAATTTGTTGAAAAGGGAGGGGACAAAAAATAAAAAAATAAAAAATCAACCACTCAATTTTGCCCGTGGTTGTTTTGCACCATTTCTTGAAGAAATTATAAATGAGGAAAAATAGAGTACCTAAATAATACACATTTATCATAACGAAAAAGAAAAAAAAGTACACTGTCCCCTTTCATTATTAATTTTTTGAATACCTTCCTCCAGTTTTCTCTTTAATGAAATAATAAACAAATATCGAAAAATAAAATTAAAATTATAACAAAACTAATTTTTCTATAAAATACGAAAATAAAACCAAAAATCTCTCTCCCCCCTCCTGCTTTCCCTACCGGCATTCTCGATCTGACCCACATTTACATTTATACCTTCTGCATCGTCTGTTGTACTGTCGGCTCGATATTCCCAATGCCGCCCTCACTCGGCCGTACCAGTGGTGGCGGCGGCGGCGGACCCCGGTGTTGGCAAAACCTCATACCCTCCACCAGCCTCGTCGTTGTCATCGTCACTGTCGTCGTCTTCTTCGTTGTCGTCATTGTGGTCGTTATGGCCCGGCACCGGCGCCGGCGGCCATTGCTGCTCTGGCCGCGCCATGATTGGGCTGTTTTCGGCCTCTAATGGATTCATGGAAGCTTCGGGTTTGGATTTTTCTTTGTACAGAGCTTCAAGCTGGTGGAAATACGGGCATGTTTTTGAATCTTCCGGTCGTTTCTTGTTGCTTTCTTTCACTTTCTTGAAGTATTTGTTTATGTTCTCCCATTTCTCCTTGCACCGCTTTGCATTCCGGCGGTGGCCCAGTTTCTGCATCTCCGCCGCCACCTCCTCCCACAGCGGCCCCTTGGGGCCGTTTTCTTGGTACTTGGTGTCCATGTTCGTACGGATTCTGATCAGCGCTTCGATTTCCGGTTTCGGCCACCGGGAAGCGCTCGCGGAATTTTGGACTGGTGAATTGTTGTTGTTATCGGTGGCTGGTGGCGGCGGCGCTACGGAGGTTTGCGGCGGAGCTACGGAGGTTGGCGGCGGAGGTGGAAATTCGGGGGTTGGGGTGGTGGTGGGGATTTGGATGTTGTGTTGTTCGGCGATGGTTTGTAGGAGCTTAATGACGGCGGCTTCTTTGGCGGCCGCCATTGATCTTTCTTGGATTAGAAGGTCGTGGTCGCGATTTATTCTCGCCGTTTCTTGAGCCCTCCACGCTTCTTCTCTCGCCGTCCGCTCAATCTCCCGCTTCTCGATCGTTTCCAGAAACTTCTTCTGCATCTCCTCCTGTTTCTCGATCACATCTCTCATCACCCGCTCCAAGAAATCCTTCCGCCGCCGCCGCTTCCGCCCGCTCCGCCGCTGGATGTCCTCGTCGGACGACGTAGACGACGACGATGTCGGACACCACACCGAACAATTATTATTATTATTTCGTTTCTCCGCCTGCGGACCCAATAGCGGCTGTGACGGCGGCGGAAACGGCGGAGAATTAATCGGATTCGGAGCTCCAAAAGGCTCCTGAGTTGATGAAACAGTAACTTGAGCTCCCACCGGAACCGGAGACGCCGCCACGAAAGTAGTTAACGGCGGCGGAGGCCGCGGCGTAGAATGGTTCCCGAAAGCCTCGAGCTGGTCGAAAAACCGGTAACTTTTCCCGTCCGATTTGTAAGCCCGGCCGTCTTTCGTCCTCTTATGATACTTGTAAACGTTCTCGAATTTCTCCTTGCATTTCTTGGAACTCCGGCGATACCCAAGCTCCGCCATTTTCCTGATACACACACAACCTTAAAATCAGCCGCGGAAACCGTACAACCTACCCACCATTATCATCTATCATTATATGCTTCTTAAATAATATTAAATATTCTTATTTTGTGACAGTAGTGCAGAAATCTAGGCAAAATCATGCCAAAAGAAGATGATAGTTGAGGAAAACTAGGAAGAATCTAAATCAATCCTATGATGACAATAATCATCCCCATTCTAAGTGTCTTGCTAAATTTAGATAGCAAACTGCCAAAAGAGCGAAACTGAAACATCTCAAAATCCCAGAAAAAACTGCTGAATTATGGTGAGGATTAACAGTCATAATACTACACTCCATTCCTTTCCGAGCTACAATCTGTCACCCAAGAACCAACTAAATTGTTCGTTTGATCTACCCAGATCTCGAAAAGTGAGAGATAGATTGGAATAAAGTATGATTTTTTTAGGAGTAATAAGTCAATAACAATGGAAAGAAGCTAAGGAATTTATTGACCAACCCAGACTTATTACCAGATCGAGTATACTATACAAGCAAGAATATTATATTAAATCTTCTATCAACTACCATCACCATGGAATCAAAGCTTCTTGGATGAAATTTGAAAACCCCCAGAAAAGATCTGATCTTTATCTTTATCTTACCTGGAAACCTCTTCCCAGAGTGGAGCTTTATGGTTGGAGTCTCTGAACCCAGCATCCATTTCCGTCCTAATCTTCAACAGAGCTATAGTTTCCTGCCGCGGCCACCTATTCCCGCCGGAATTCCTCTCTCCGCCGCCGCCGCCGCCACCTTCCTCCGCTCTCGCCGCCCCATCTTCCTCGCCAAAATGAACCCCACCAGCCTCACTGCTGCTCCCGCCGCCGCTCTCCGGAGCTTCCGCCGCCCCATCTCCCGACCTGCTTACAATCCCACCTGAGAAATCCAACATCTCTCAAACAAGAGATGAAGAAGACGATGATATGATGATTATGCTCAGTTGGAAAAAAGAAAAATAATTATTTTTTGGGATTAAAACAGAAAAAAGATGGTGAATTCTATGGGGTATATGAACATGGGGAAGATGTGGTGAATTTTATTAATTTATTTCTGTGGGATCTGCCTGTCTATCTCTAAATAAATAATAAATATAAAATTTCTAAATAAATAAAAACAGTAGACTTTTTAACCGTTATTTTTATTACAGCATTATTTTTTTTTCCCTTTTTTCTATTTAACTTTTAGCTAGCAGTGGAATCTTTTGATATATATGGAGTGTATTTTATTTTATTTTTCTATAGATAATAATAAATAATTAAAATTGGAAAAGGATACAAATGTACATTTCACATTTCTTTATAGGAATTTTTAGTATATGCTATATTTAGAGATACTTCAAAATTAAGTTTGAAAGTTCAAATAAGAAATGATCATGATCACTAAACATAAACCTATAAAGGAGATAATAAAATTAAAGTATCAATTTCTAGAAAGTGACGGAGATCGGATATATTTATAATTTTTCTAAGTCACCAAGTGTCTAACTAGTTTAATGAGTACTTTAGACACCACTTAATTCACTGGTTCAGTAAATAGTATTTGGAAGAAAAAATTAAAATTTAAACTTCAAAAGCTATAGTGTGGGATTATGTCTAAAGTGGACAGATCCTTTATGCGCACTGACATTTGACCTGTCTATTGAGTCATTGAGTCACCGTGTAATTTACATCCTCCAAAATGTTTTATTGGATTGAAGTGTGAGGAACTCTTGGGATCGTAGAGTATATATATATATATATATATATATATATATATATATATATATATATATATATATATGAGTTCTACCACATGTACTTTCTAATTTTATTATCTAAATTTTACTCTCTGTTGTGACAGATTCTGAAAAGTTTTTTTTTTTTTTTTTTTTTTTTTTTTTTTTTTTTCATGTGAATCCCAATACAAGTATCTACATCAAAATTTTGTGTTTGAGAGTAGTACAAGTTAAGAGTACAAAACGGAAGTACACGTAGTATTTTCCTTTATATATTATCGTCCGTCCAGCTGACTATAATTAAAAGCCGTCCCATGTAGGTCAGCTTTGCTTTTTGGATTTCAGTATCAAGTTGCCTGCGTACTATTCTAAAATATTTACCAAATAAAATGTATAATTAATTAAATTGATGCTTGTATTTTCCCCCCTTCATAAAAAAAAAAAAATATTTTGCTTATCATTACGGATATATATATATATATATATATATATATATATATATATATATATATCAAGTTGTATCTAGTTCAATTGTGTAGATGTTTCTAAATATAATTTGATTACGATAGCACTTAATAATCATAAGGTTTCAAGTTCAATCAATGTGGGAGCTTGGCTTTCTTGGTTTGAGCCGGTCAACTATGTATAGCGTAGATTGGTTTATTATCTCCTTATATTCAATTGCCGATTAAGATTATAATGCGAGATTTATTCAAATCATACCTTTAGGTAAGAGTTGTGGATTTTTCTGTAAATTAAAGATATAACATTTAAAAAATAAATAAAAGTGGGAGCCATATATTCAATTAACTTAGTTGTTAGATATAGGTCATATTTTCATGGAAACCCATTTATGGAATGAAGTAAATACTGTCCAATTCTGTTAGGTTAACTGGAACCTACCCTAATAAATGATGATACTTGATAGCATTCTAATCACACTCATCTTTTATTTTTGTTTTTTGATTAATTGCGATCAGTGTTATGTTAATTTCACTCAATTTGTTCAATTATATTATCACTATATCGGCTTATCTCAATTTAAATATACTAAAATATAAACTACACAAATTATCATCCAGAGTAAACTGTCAATGACGACCTTGTGGTCTAGTGGTATAAAGTAACCCTTCTAAATGAGAAGTTATGAATATTAAATAATATATAAATCCTAAAATTTTCTTTAAAAATTTTCAAATTGCACTCAATAATGACGATGATTATTGCCGTATACTGTCAGTATAAGTTTAACTCAATAGTTCAGTAGGTAGTATTTTAAAAAAGATTATTGCCGTATACTATACCATAAATATAAATAGAAGAAATGGATATTTGGGTCCAATTCAATCAATGAGCCAAGTAAATGAATATAATGAACAATAATTACATATACACAATTACCAATCAACTCATATTATTACGTGCATGAATTAAATACCGTGAGAATTAAAGCAACCTATCATAAGATAGCAACTATTTATCATGTATTTGTACGTACAACTGTAAGTATGTATACCGTCGGCACATTTCAATACATTAATTTTAGCATATACTATACAGATAGAGATAGGGTATATATATACATTTATTTCAGAAAATTTTACTGTTGATAATAATGTTAATTATCTTTTAGTACAATTTCATGTATAATTTAGGTGTATAAAAATCCGAGTATGTAAAGTTAAAAGTTGGTATTATCCAAATATAATGGTCTTAGTATACAAGATAATTCTCAATGAGTCGGAAAGTATTGATGAGTATTGATTGAAAAAGTCCCCCACTTTTGATGGGTTCGTCAATTTTTGTTAATACTTAAGTAATCTCAGTTTCGCTAGATTAATCTTAAATTCACAAAACTCCGCCCTAGAGCTATTGCAGAGGTAAAATCACAACCGGTCAGAGTCTTCATATGCGTATAAGGCCGGGATCCAATCCACACATTCTATCATCCTGGATTTTCTTTTTTCAATCATGTTTCCAGTAGGATTAGAACTCGCACAATGCCGCCTTCAGTCGTGACATTAGGTCAGAACTACTACGCTAAATTCCGTGAGTCAATTTGTTAATTTTTATAGAATTAAGTGAGGGAACACATGTCGGTATTCTCGTTGACAAGAGTCGACTCAAGTGAATGAGACACTTGAAAAGACACTTCATAAGTCATTTATCTTTTCAGGTGGACCAGCTTCTCGATCTAAAATTAAAGGTCAAGAAATACACTCCTGAAATCAACACAATCAGGAATCACTGCACATATTATGTATATACCTATCAAAAATATTTCATCATGTATATGCAATTTGTATATATTATTTATTTATTGATATGATTTTTCTCATTTCTAAGCTAGCTTCCTAATATCGAAAAATATAAAAATGTTAATTGGAGGACATACACCAACGTTGCACGCATGATATAAACGTACATCAAGACACGAAACGGGCACCGTTTTTGTTGTCTGCATGTTCACATTCACATGAATGAGTGAGTGGTACGTAATTGTTGGAGATCATGACAAGACAACTCTAATCTCACTACAAAAACCTAGCAAGCTTCTTAGGTAGTTGTACGCAAGTAAGTCACGTCTCACAAATGTTGAGATTATTATTGGCCGATAAAGTAAATTAGACACTTTGTATTCAGATGGCACTTCTGTGATTCCCCTTGAAAAAAGTTACAAGATCGAATTGTGGTGGTGGAATATTGACTCTTTAGGCTACAATAAGTGGAGAGTAGATCTAGGGTTTGATAAATCGAACCCCGGTGGTGGGGTATTGGTAGATCGATCTAGGGTCTAATAATAATAATAATAATGGCGGGCCTGCAGCCCGCGGGGTGGGCCGAAAAAGCTTGCTCCTTGGCGAACCCACCCCTATTGAAGTAGGGGACGGGATGGCCCACCCCTACTGAAGTAGGGGACGGGATGGCCCGGCCCGACGGACAAAGCTAATTTCGACGGCTCTAGTCTAAAGTCACATTATGTTACAAGGTAAGAAATACGAGATAGAAATGTATTGATTAAATGAATTTGAAAAGATTGGGAGCTCGGTCAATAATTTTAGACGGTCAGACATTTTTCATCCTTCTATGTTACAAAAGATAGTTAGTATAAGTATAATATGATCTAAATTATACAAGAGGAGTCTCATTTATATTTGTCAACTACTAGTGTCATGATAACTTGTAACAAGTTACTCTAATATGGTGTGCTTTGATTAGCAAACAACTGTCGTCAATTAGGCAGTAACTCAAATCAATCAAGCGGCATGACAAGCTCTAGAGTAGAGCTGTCAAAATAGGTTAAACTCGTTGGACCAGCATGCACGTCTTGCAATAAAGACCCGCTAAATTGACGAATTTTTATGAGCTCTGCTTTGTCAGTCCGCTTTAATAATACTAGCAAATTTGTTAGGAGGGGCATGGTGAACTAGTTCAAAATCAAGACAGGTGTAGGTCAACCTAGTCTCGATAACCCCGGTGTTATTAGGGTTTATTGAAGACAAATTCAAACTTCCACTTCATTCCTTATTTTTCTCCGTCATTTGCCAGCTTATCTTCTCCTTCTTCATATAAAGTTTACAAATGGTGGAAGATTTGCAATTATGTAAAAGATGACAAAGACTACTTAATTACAGTAATGAAATTCTTTAATCATTAGGTACACGTACTTATCAATATTATAATGTTTTTGATGACTTAGTGAAAATGATTCAACTTATCCATTGTCACATCAAACTTGCCTCCTATATAATACAAAGTGCAATTATTAATTTTAAACCTAAATTGATAGAATATTGTGTATCTGATTAATTCAAACCAAATGAATATTCATAAGTCCAGTGAAGCGGCCTAAATCTGAAAGCACGGACCTGTTAAACATATGTATAACATTTAATGTTCACGCATAAAGCTATCACAGTCACATTATACTGAGCGAGATGTCACATATGCACCTTGAAACCCACATATGGTGATTGTATTTAATGTATGCTTAGTGTTTCCGGATAACTCAAATAAGTGTCTGAAAATTATAAAAAAAAAAAAGATTTAATTTGATAACTTTTACGGTTAACCTATTGCTCTCTCTTAATAGATAATTATACTCAAATTACTCTCACATACTCAAAATTAATAATATTTGCTATTTGATTAATTTAATATTTTACTATAATTACCTAAATTGCTTACAAATTTTTAATATCACGAATTGACTAATTAAACATCAAAAAAGGTGTTTTTGTATAGTGTATGTTAGGGCCATCAAATGTTGGGTGATATGGACAAGAAGTGATGAGGTGTCTGGTTGGTCTATTAAAGCTTAGGTCATGACTCCATATGCATTGAAAAGTTAAATGTACGTAAAGGGTTTATGTGATGAACATGGGAGGCATGGCATGTGAATATAGACATAAACCATGTGGTTACACTAACACTTCCAATTTATCTAGCATTAAATTAGCTCCTATTTGAAGAGGAAAACAAGATATTTAATTTGCATGTTAAAATATATAAATAAAAATAAACAATAAACAATATATATATATATATATATATATATATATATATATATATATACTAATAAATAGAAGAAAATGACACGGATCCCCATCTCAAACATAGAGAAATCGTTTCTTGTCCACAAAAGGTAAAATTCTCCTGTCACAAAGCTCTCACACTTCGACCCGACAGAATAGTGGAAGGGTGAATCACAGTGACTTTACGACTCATTAGGTGGAAAGACCATGTCTGGGGCCCACAAAGAACCTACCATATTAGGTGTAACTCCCATGTTACCACGCTCCCAGTGATCCTTTAAACCTAAATTAACTTGTAATATGAAAATTGGGCCACTATCATGACCCGATTGAAATTTTGGTGGTGGTGAAGTAAAACAAGGCCCATAAGAGTAAGCCCATACAATAATTGGGCCCAAAACATGGGTCCACTTAAAAGCCCACATCTAGAAACAGCCCAAATTGGCTGTTCAAGTGTTCAGACAAATAATGTTGAAAATGTAGTATGAGTCAATGGCATGAATCACATGATTCTAAAAGTCTCATCCCCCTCTCCCACAATTGTTGAAACTTTTGTTTCAAATATGAAGTTTTTTACAACCACCTTTTTGACTTGTCTCGAATCCTAAGAGAAGACCTCACTTGAAATACCTAGGACAAGAACATTGCTGGTTTGCCCCGAAAGTGATGGCTGTCGTACTAGAATGTCCAAAGTTCGATTTTTGCCAACACTTTCTTGGTTGAATTCGTCGCACAAGGTCTTTCTAGTGCAATTTACCTCTCATGTGTAATTTGTAAGTTACTGTACAGAAGCGGGACTTAGGACAAGTGGTGGGTGTCGTACTAGAATGTCAAAAGTTCGATTTTTGTCAACACTCTCTTGGTTAAGTCCATCGCACAAGGTCTTTCTAGTACAATTTACCTCCCACGTGTAATTTGTAAGTTACTGTACAGAAGCGGGATTTACCCAGTGCACACCTTCGGGTACAGAATAAATTGGGACTAGAACCTGGTTTGCTTCTGCAGCAGGAATCTTGCCAAAATATACATTAACCAGCCAAATATCATCTGGGAATCAGACATCACACAACATAGGATTATTCTGAGAATCTGAGTCTTGTTTATCACCCTGTCAGTCTGTATGAAATGGAAGAAGAAACTGAAATTCTGTGTTCATTTTCTTGAATAATTCCTTAATGAAAGCAATCAACAAAGAAGTAAGAGGTTATGAAACAACAGTATGAGAACTGTGTTAGCAGCAAAATATGATTCTATCATGAAAATATAAGACAACTCTTCACCATACAAAAGCTCTAGTCATTAATATTACAAGCAAAGCAGCTAAAACGACAGTTTTTGCGGCTACTACAGTCCTAAAAAGCATACGATCCTAAATATTTTTCCCGTCCAGAAAATCAAAGGAAATTGGGCGGATAAAGAAGACAAGAAGTTCTTGCAGTTTAAAGTAAACCTTAACTATTATTGTCTGCAAGCATTTCCTTCTGCTTCAACTCTAACGCCATTCGTTCATTCTCGAGTTTCATCCTCTCGTTCTCCATCCTCATCATTTCCAACTCGAAGTTCTTCTTCTGGCTAAACCTTTGCCACTTAAACCGCTCTTTCTCCAATTCCAACATCTGTGCTTGGATATGCAGCTTCTGCTCTTCGAGCTGAAGAGACCGTTGATCCATCCAACGCTTCTGCAAATTGCTGTCTTTCAACTCATCGGGTGACATTAGGTTCGCTTCTGCATTTGCATTTTGTGGCCGAAAACTCAAAGATTTGTTACAGTCTAGACTTCCAAAGCAAGCGTTTGGTTTCGGTTTCTTTGCAGGGCCGGTTTGAATCCCATAGGGAAAATTATGATTCTCCTCGTACTCATCGTGCTCGTCTAACTCAGCATCTAGATCATCGTCGTCATTGTCATCGTGGGGAGGCCTTCTCACGGTGTCGTTGTCATCGGTGTCATCTCGGGTTCGAAGAGCCAAGCGCAATGAACGTTGCAAGTCGGGGTCGGGAGGGAGGTGTAAACGGTTACCATTGTGGTAAGAACACATCTCTTCGTAGTGAAGGTGCTTAGAGCTTAGAATCTTTTTGACTTCCTCCTTTGCTTTCTCGGGTATGTGTTCCATCATATCTAGAAGAGACGGGTTCTCAACGACTTCGCAAGAGGTGCCTCTCCCGAGGATCTCGTTTAGTCTCTTGTACCTCTTGTTGAGATCGTTGAATTTATCCTCACATTGTTGAGGGGAAACGAAATGGCCCCTTTCGGCCATGACCTTTGACACCGATTTCCATTTCCCCTTTTTGTGTATATTCGCGCATTTCCTCCTCCCACCGTGCTCTGCAGAGGCCTCCTCGCCAATGTAGGAAACGGCGGTGATAAGTAACCTCACCATTTGATCGGTCCACTTCACACGGTGCCACATGGGCGTCTTCTTCCCCCTATTCGGATCATTGTCCTCGGTAAAGCTAGGCTCCTCGTCATCACTCACAGATTTGCCTCCCTCGCCTTTGCCATAATCACTCAAAGAGATATTCTGGCTACCAATTGAGAGGGGGAAGCCCTCGGGAATCTGCGAGTGAACCATTGATCCCTGTCTGGGATGAGGGTGAAGCCCAACAGGATGCTGTTGATGATGATGAACCCTCATTGAACCTTGTAAATCAAGACCCCCATAAGAACTACCAGGAATCATGTTCCCTGATGATATATTTCCTTCCATTTCTTGCTAACAAACCACCATCCAAATCAACCCTAAAAGGCTAAAACAAGTAAACAACCACTCCTTTCCCTAATCCCTACTACAATGGTTCAAAATTAAAGCAACTCCCTTTTTTCTCACAAAAAGTGAAATCTTTCTACCTCAGAACCAGAAAGCCAGAAAGGTATTCACTTCAAAAAGCCCATTTTTGACAAAACAGCTCAGAATACAGAAACACCCAAAAAATCATTTCATTTTACTCATCAACAGAAAGGCAAATCCATAGTCTATACCAATCATCAACTTAGATACAAATCACTAGTGAAAGAAAATCCAAACACAAACATTTCCTGACACCATACAAAGAAACCCATTAACACCAACCTGTAAAGCAAAAAATCTAACATCAAAGATACAAACTTTTCCAGAAATCAAGAAAAATCCTGCTCAGAAACACATGGGCAAGAGCAAAAAATGGTCAGGTAAGGAACTTACACATGATTTAAGAGGCGTCCTAATTATCTGCCGAGATTCCGGGGTTGAAGAAGGAAGAATACAAGAGGCAATCTGGAGTTTATACCCGTAAAAAGACAAATTTTCAGGCTGTATACTGTTAACCGTAGAGGGTAAAAGGGCTTAGGTGGTTGCAGTTTCAATGTGTGGGGCCGGGCCGGGAGGTATTCAGAATTTTTTCGTGTTCTCAAATCTCAACAAAGCATATATCCCCCAGAAAGGCTAAAAGACGCTTACGTCAAGTCTGCAACAAAACACCACTCTCACAGTCTTCTTCTTACGTTGCGTTTGCCGTTTGGTGTTCTTTGAACTTCACAACTGGAAATCCGATTATGAGTATTCCGTAGTTTGAACTTTGAAGCGAAAGGAATTTTATTTTATGTAAAATTTTTGGATCTATTCTCTCTTTTTTTTTTTTTTTTTTTTTCTTTTCAAAATAATGAAGAGGTAATCCAGTAATAATTCTTCCAAAAGGCTGAACCCTCTCACTTTGAGAGGTTGCTCTCACACTGCCACTGCTGAGACTCGATCCCTGATAATAATTAGTAAGTGAATTATAGGTTCAACTAAGACTTGAATGATTAAATCTTGCATATATGTGTGTACGCATTATATTATCCAATTCGGATTGGGGATATCAAATGTTGAATGCCAACAATAATTAAGAATATGTACCGGATAAATTTTGTTTCTATAATAAACCACAAAAAATTTTTATTACCTTATTTGACGATTCAATCAGTACGAAACATTATTATTGCCTTATTTGACGATTCAATCAGTACGAAACTTATGTTTCATCTTGCCGCCGCCTGTTTTTATTATTAAATGAAACATTTTTGATACACCTAATTCATTATCTTAATTTTTTTAAACCACCGTTATGTTGACTTCCATCAAAATTGTGATTCATTGAATACATTCTCATACCTTTCCATAATTTTAATATACAAAATGACTCTTTATGCATGTTAAGAATAAATTTATTTGTTGACAAGACAACACCACGTTATCAAATTGCACTCAATATGCTCCATAATTTTGGTCCCAAATGCAGCCAAACGCCGGTACGATGAAACATTAAATTAAATTGGAAGGGAGAGAAGAAATTTTAAAAAATGAGTACTGCCTGCTTGTAGTGCAAATCACGAGAGACACTCTCCTCTCCTACCTGGGTCAGAACTCAGCAGCAATTTATTTGATTTGATTTGATTTGTTAATTGGAGGGATAATGACCCTTTTGAATTTTGATACTGACATGGCCATTAGTTTAAATAATGTGACATTAAATAGATATATTTTATATGCAATAGGACAAGTTGCGATTAAAAGAAAAGAAGAAAGAGAATATACATTGTACATGTGCAATAAGGCGATGCAATTAGAGTAAGTCGACCAATAACATTGATTTCGTTTGTCCAAAACTATAGCTATGATGGTGATTGGTGAGTGAGAATCACCGGTATGCTAAAAAAGATAATAATATTTGGATATGATAATGTCGAGAAAAAACTGTTTAGAGAAAGCATAAATTACAAAGCCCCTATTTATTTTTCTTCTCTCAAATACTGTCTACTGAACTCGTGAACAATTAATTTCAAAATATGAAGCTTGCGAATATGCTTCCATTATGGACAAAATGTGTATTTATGAACAGCAAGCTAATAAGGAGGAGGCCATGATTACATGAAGGAATTTCAAAATATGAAGCTTGTGAATATGCTTCCATTATGGACAAAATGTGTATCACTTGGCACAAAAGAATGTAATGTAATATACTAACAAGCTACAACACAACAACGGCACATACATATGGAGAAACAAACAAACAAACAAACCAACCCGAAAAAAAAAGAAGAGGAAAACCTGAATGACGTACCAAGTAAGTGATTAATATCTATCTATCTACGTCTTTGCCGGGAGACGTTTGGGGATCCACTGCGTTGTGCTCCTTTAAAACTCCTACTTGTTGAATCTCTAAAAGAAGCATAAGCTGCTTTTGCGGATTCTGGAACGGAGTCCAAGGGAATTGACTCCACAAAGCATGCGGTATTTATTCGGGTCCTCTCCAGCTCAGCTTGAAGCAGCTCTGAACTATACTGCTGGGCGAGAGCAATGAGGTCATCAGGTGACACGCTCATCCCTTGATGCCTCTCATCCACATCATCACTTCCACGTGTTGGTCGCCGGCTGTGACTTGGACTCTCAGCATTTTCCATTACATTCTCAGCTGCTTTCTCCAATAGAAGGCCTTGCAATGACTTGAGGGATTCCCTTGCCTCGGGTGTAAAATAAGGATTCAATATGGTCTCGAAATATTCAAGCTGCAGGATTCAGTCACACAACAACTATTAGAATCTCATCTCAGGCATTAAGTGACAGGTGACACATGGACTATCCAAATCAAACTAAACCTTCCATTTCAGTTTCTTCCTTCTAAACCTCTCAATTTGCTTACAACACTGGAAATTATTAAGTCTTAGTAGTTTTGTTAACAAACAACCTCACATCTGATTAATAATTTCAGCAGAGCATATGAAACTCTAAGCACAATGCAAATATCAACTAGAATTATAGAGTTTCACACAAAATCACCTCAAGCATAATCTGACAAAAACCATTAGCATCCAATGCGATCGTTTGGTTTTCACGGAAAAGGCTGATGAAAGTATCTATTAGACCTTCAACAAGGATGCCAAGTGTCTTATCTAGTAGTGGCTTACAACCAGCGAAAACCTGCAGGGAAGAACACATTAGTTTACCCATAGATATAGACCAAAATTAACCAGGTCTACAATAAATCTCAAGCATAAAAAACATTTAGACAATAAGTCATTAAATATTCAAATGTTACACTTAGACCACTCAATTAACATATTAATTTTGCAAAACCTCCACAACAGAACATGTGATGCACTGATGCTATTTTCAAAAATTAAAATCGTAAGATCAGTTTTCCATCTTGCAATGAACTGTATGAAATTTATTTATCCCAATTCCCAAACAATAGTGTGATGATATGCCTACAGATTGTGATTGTTGATTAGCTATCTCCAACACCAGGATTTGAGAAGCATAACACAGCTGAAAGCTTATGTGAAAACCCAGGTAAAAGTGAAAAGAGGAATCATGTCTCATTCACCAGGGCATTTCTTTTCTTTTCTTTTTTCTTTTTTAATTTTAAAATATCATTTCAGTTTGGAACTGTATACCCAAAAACCAAAAAAAAAAAAAAAAAAACAACAACAAAACAAAAAGCTATTCCAGTACTTTATTGGAAGTGGCCTCCCTACTCCCAAAGAAAGCAACTTTGGGCATTCATCCCATACTGAATAATCATGCCTTTAATGCAGTATCTTCAAAGAAGTGTGGAAATATTAAAAGAGAAGGTTTCCAAGTAGCAGATGCACTAGCTAAGTTGAGCATGATATATGAGAGCATCACTGCTTTCAACCTCAAATGGACCTAACTCTTTCAGATGAAAGGGGTGTGTGTGTAGGCTTGGTTTAAATCTTCTTCTGTTTCTAAATTCTGGAGTATTGAAGATCTCCAATTTTAACCCTAGCTATTTATTTTCCTACATAACTTCATTTTGGTATTCTTGCACTCCTTGAGGAAATGCCCTGGGGGGGGGGGGGGGGGGTGGGATGTTTTAACTAATACAGTAGTATGTTTGACCAAACCATGACCTGCACCATTACATGGAGGTCTGCCAGAACAACAAGTGAGGAAAGCCACTTGGCGTGAGGGGCATGAAGAATATACCTCTGCATGTACTGCTACTAGAGTGTGGAGCAGCTCCACAGCAGCATCTCGAACACCCTGTAATAATACATTTGGAGTTCATATCAAAATTCAAACTATAAAATTCTTGGCACTTGGAGAACCCAAGATCACAAGAAACAAATAAGTACTCACTTTAACAGCAGGTGCTGCACCCCACTGAATTCCAGCATCTAACAAATAGTTCACTCCCACTGCTCTAATCAAATTCGTCTGAAGATAATGCCAAAAAAACAAAGGATGGCTGAGGAAAATAATGTAAAACTTTTCCAATAAAAGTTTTGGAAACAGCACAAATATGTGAAAACATAAAGATTCAACGTGGGTGTGAATGCTGGAAGAAGTGGCCACTTGGAAAGATTAAGATAACCTTTATCAACAACTTACTGAGTCTGAACCTTAAGGCAAGGTTAAACTTAAGGGCGGTCCAATGTCTCTGTAAAATGAAGTGGTAGAAGAGATAGTGTAGATTATATTAAGATCCAGTAATCCAATGTAGTTGGAAGTATGGCAGATCATTCGTATAATTTTTTTTGGTAATGACCTACTTGTGATGTTGACAAGTTAATTTAAGGGGAAAAAGTAAGTAAACTGATCTTATCTGGTTCACTCCCTAAAGACTGTCTATACCCTCCATTCTGGAGATCCCCAATTTCTGGTATCCCTATCCATATTCAACCCTCATTTCATCTGGTTCCTCATCAACGGACCAAATTCTGCCAATAACACTATGTTTTCCACGTAACTTTGTAAAGAACTCTCTAGTTTTACTTTCACCATGCAGGGTGACTGTATTTAGGATGATATCTTGAAGCTATTTCTTTTTTCTATCAACAAAATCAGTCAAATACATGGATGGGTATCTTGCCAAGTAACAGTTTCTAACTGAACCAAAGATTAGTCATACCTTGGCACAAGTGTATTGCTCAAGAACCTTTTCTTCAAGGCTAGAGAAAGATGCAATCATATCTTGCACATCAGCGTCCCCGTCATCTTTGCCACCCCTAGGGTTCCATAATCAAGAAGATAACATGGTGTTAAATTAACATCAGAAAGGTAATCAAGAAGCTTTTCCAGCATGGCATCTAGAATAATTCCTGGGACAAAATAATGGGAAAGGTTATGCAAGTGAACTACTTGCTTGCTCAAGACAGGAGGTTGGAGTTCAGACAATAGGATCTCTATTCTATTTGGTTGTGACTTGTAACATGAGATATTATTTTTACTTGTAAAACTGATTCAGTCAGGCTGCACCCATTGCCCTTTCAGGTTAGACAAGTGCAATAGTCACTTGTGTTAATGAATGATAATGAATTGCATCGTGCATAAGATGAGACTCAAAAATTCACAATTCACGGAACTATATATTTACAATAAGGGTGGAATTGGATCAACACGATGCTGATAGGACAAAGACAAATGATAAGCCAGCCTGCTTACTTGAAGCAGGTTTTCTCCAATGGTTCAAATGCTTGATGTGTCAAATGTAGCTAGCTAGCATGATTTTAACATAGTTAAGTACAATGAAGAACAATATACCTAGTT